CACTGATCAACAGCACAGTTAACACTGATCAACAGCACAGTTAACACTGATCAACAGCACAGTTAACACTGATCAACAGCACAGTTAACACTGATGAACAGCACAGTTAACACTGATCAGAAACTTAGAACACCATGTAAAGCTCAGGTATAGTATGTTAGCTGTGCTCAGCTGTAGCACTGACACAAGGAGCTCCTGTTTAGTCAAAGTTAAACATGAAACTTAATTACATCATAATGCTCTGGTGGCCCTCAGTGAAAATTAATTGACACCCCAGTTTTGTATGTTATAAAACAGGAAACCCAATCTGCAGAGGTCTGAAGATGGAATGTTGATCAACAGCAGAAATATTACTAATTTTAAGTGTACAGATTTTTAAAATAAAAATGACAGAAAATGAAAAAAATCTGCATCTGAATGAGCATTAGTTGAATCTTATCTCTCCCTCTCTCTTAAATAACTAAAATAACTAGTATACCTAGTCATAAAAGCAATTTCAGATACCTGGAATGTAATTGTGGTGAAGCCAATTAAATGTAAAAACGGCCTGCCGTAAATGTGAGCTTCCTCATGCTGCTGAAAAAGATCCAATTGTTAAATTATGTTCTTTTCTTCATCGCAGCTGACAAAAACAAACATTGTTTATATGTTTTGCTTTGCATGACGTTCAGCAGGAGGGAGGGAGAAATTCTGAAGATTTACCCCACGAGACAATTCATCTTATGGTGGTAGTACATTACAAAAAGGAAACAGTTAAAATTTACTCCCATACCTAGCTGAGTTTCCATTGACCATGAAAATGCGCAGATTAGAATTTCGAAAATAAATTTGCTCAATGGAATCACGTCAATTTAGAAAAAAATTAAGTTTTTTGACAAAACATTTTTGCGCTAGGATGAGGTGGTATTTCAGCCGTATCGAAATTGGTGTTTTTGCAAAACTGCAATGGAAACAATTTTTTCACATCACAGGAGTCACGTGATCAACCGTCTGTTTCTACTGGTGAAAAAGACGAAGAAGAAGAAGATAACAGGAAGTAGAAGTAGTAGTAATATCACAGAAGTAGTATAAAGCAGTAAACTCACCGACTACAATTTGCCAAAAACACAGCATACGTAGCCGCTCCCAAGTAGGGACTTGTCTCTGGAAAGCCTCGATAAAAGACGCCAACGTCTCCTCTGATGATGAGCGCTAGTGTCGTGGTAGCAACATGCTATGTGTTTACATCCATCGCTGCCATGTTTGTAATGACTTATCATGAGAACAAACGTATTCACGTGACTTTAGTAGCATTTCTTACTTAATGGAAACACTGCAGTTGTGAAACTGTGTTTTTTCAACATTAACAGAATATCTACAAAGTTTTGCGCACATTTGTAATGGAAACACAACTATTGATAAAAGCCCTAAACTTTCTGGATTGGGGGAGTTGCTTGGTGGGGCAGTGAGTTCTGGTAGGGGGTCAGGCCACCCTCTTGTTAACAAAAACACAGCTTTTTTTTTCTTATAGCTCTGGTTTTACTGAAGAGCTGTTGTGCACTGGTCAGAAATCAGACGTGGGTGTGTGGATTGACTGAGAAGCACTTGTTTAGCTGGACCTTGTTGAGTTGTAATTGACCACTTGCAACATCAGTTAACATCTCCATAATGCTTAGCACCTTGGTCTGCTATGAGCCCTTAGACCCTAGCACTGTTTGTCTGATCAGTCCTGTGCTGCTCCGTAGGTCCGACTGTCCACAGGAAAGGATGTTCGTCTCAGCGCCAGCATGACCGACACCGTTGGGCAGCTGAAGAAGCAGCTACAGGTCCAGGAGGACATTGACGTGGTCCACCAGCGCTGGTTCTTCTCTGGTAAGCTGCTAACAGACAAAACACGGCTGCAGGACACGAAGATCCAGAAGGACTTTGTGATTCAGGTCATCGTCAACACTCAGACCCCTGAAGAGCCCGAGCTCTCACCGCCTCTCACTGCCTCCTCACCCACCTGTGAATAAAACAATGGGTGGGTTCTCCAAAAGTCTGGATAATGGTTTTATTTTGGACAACAGCTGTTTTTACTGGAAGACATATGTAACCTGGAGGTACGGACTCAACACAAATACCCAAAGGGAATAATCAAAGTGCTGCTTTGTTCCTCTGCCCAGCTTCAGTCTGGTTTCATGTCAGAGCTGTTCTTCACACGGCTCTGAGGCTGAACTCATGCTGGTGTGCAGTGCTGCACCTGTAGACTGTGTCTCTGGGCTTTCCTCTGCCCAGCTCTTTGTGTTTGTCCTAAAGCTCCTCAGCTCTGCTGTCCTTTCACTTTCTCTGCCTTTAAAACACGACAAGAAACAGAGCGAATGATGCAAAATATTTCAGTTTCTTTTCTCCTTTTATTTAAGGAAATCATGCTAACTCAGCTGTTTTTGCACATTTAAAGGTTGTTGCTATAAATTTGTGGTAGTCTGTGTGCCTTCTATAAAACTAAAAAAGGTTTAGTGTCAGGAAAGACGAGTTCTTCTGCTGGCCTAAACCCTGAGTATTTTTTTAGATTTACATCAATTTATCACTGCTGCCTTTTTTATGCTTTCTTAAATTTTGTGTATAAATGGATGTATATGCGTAATTAAAAAAATGTATTTGAGGTGAATCAAATTAGATCTAGGAGAAATAAATGAGTGAAAGTATAAATGAATCAGTTCAGCTATTCATGGTTGGTACTTGTCTACTAACTGCTTTACAACCACTTTAATGGAGCTTCACAGGCCTTTATTACAGCCCCTCCACCAGTACTGGAACAGCAGGTCAAAGAGCCTATATGACACGCTCCTCCCTTCTACTCCCTGCTTACTGCCTTTGTTTTTAGCATTAGCTGCTAGTACTAGTCCATGAAAAATCACAAAAGTTGAAGCATCTGTGATCTACTGGTATAAAACATGAGTTCTGTTGTGTGTCGTTGTGTCAACTAACCAGCAGGTACAATAGGAGTTAGTTTTTATCCTTTTTCCTCTTGATGAGGAGGTGACAGCAGAGGATCATAGCATTACAGGGAAAACTTATCTTTAAAAGCTCACGCTTGTGTTTGTAATCAGCATTTCTAACCTGAGGATATTCAAGAGCCAGCATCAGAAATGAGAAGATGGAGGTTACAAAAGAGAAATGTACATTTATCCCCTTTTACCGCCAAGACGAGAGAGGAAAGACCACCTCCACATGACAGCTAGCAGGAAGCTAGCACAGCAGCCGGTACAAAGGTAGG